ATGAAATTTTACACTTATTAGATCCTGAAGGAATCGAAAATAGACAACGCCATAGATTGACAAGAAGGAAGTATAAAGTCCCTGGGCCAAACTTCTTATGGCATGTCGATGGGTACGATAAATTAAAACCCTTTGGGTTTGCCATACACGGTTGCATAGACGGTTTTTCGCGAAAAATGTTATGGCTGGATGTTGCAACATCCAACAATAAACCTGAAATAATAGCGTATTATTTTTTGAATACTCTGAACAAATTTAAACTGGTACCAACGCTGATGAGATCTGATTTGGGAACTGAGAACGTTCTCATAGAGAGGCTACAGCAAGGGCTTCGTTTTTATCACGATGATCAGCTGTCTGGAACGAAAAGCTTCATCAAAGGGAAGAGCACATCAAATCAACGTATCGAGAGCTATTGGTCGCAGCTGAGGCGACAAGGAGCCGATTACTGGATTTCATTTTTCAAGGATATGCGTGACCAAAATACTTTCAATGATTCAGATCCTATCCAAGTTCAATGTTTGAGGTATTGCTTCGGCCATCTCATTAAGAAAGATTTGAGAATTATTCAACAAGAATGGAATCGCCATCGTATTCGAAAGCAAAAGTCTCGTGATTTGGCACCAGGCAAACCGAACTCCATGTTTTATCTCCCAGAACGCTATAACGCTACGGATTACGGTAAAGAAATCGATCTAGAAGACGTTGATCTTTGTTTGACAGAATTTTCAATTATACCTGACCTTTACGATCCTCTTTTCAAGCAATTAGCTGAAATTCTTCTACCCGACCACTCTCCACCAAATACCGTAGAAAATGCTGTCCAATTGTACACCTCTTTACTCAACCTTGTGAGAAATAATGATGAATGCAACGAAACGATTAATTGAAATACCGATGGGATTAAGTGTAATAAAAAATATATTGAATAATGCGTTTCCTTATTCTTCATCTATGTTTGTTACCTCGTTGTCCCATTTTGCTGCTAAACCTATCCAATCGTCTTTAGAATAATCAACCATGATTGGGATTATTCATTCAACCGTGTTGACGAGCATTCCTTCGAGATGTTGAACGGAATCGTAACAGAATCAGACGGTCTGACCCGTTTCCGCAATCCAAAACTAAGATTATTCCATTATCTTCATAATGTTTGGTTCGGCTTTTTATCTTGATAATGATTCGTTCCAAAACAAAATTGCAGGAGTACTTTTTTGGTGGAATTTCCTTCTGTTGAAAAACTAGCGTTCTCACATTGGCTTTAATACTACCTGTTCTGGAGATGGAGGAACAATTGAAACAATAGCCGAAATCGATTGACTGAGTAGGATGGATCGACTTATGACATGTTGTTCAATACTTTACAAACTGAAAAAACAATTCACTAAAAAACTTGCAATATTCCTTCACAAAAATTCTAGAAATCATGGTAAATTCTCATTTCTGACATGTAATTAAAGGATCCAATTCTGTCCCCTTTTCTACACCTGGTATCGCAAAAGCCGCGAGAAATAAGTGAACCAAGGGCCAAGCTAAATGGAGATTAATGATTGAACCACATAAATCACGAATGAAGAACAATCCAGATGGTATCATCAAGAAGAAATACTAAAAGTAAAACATGGGAAAAGATTCCTCTTGGACAAATGAAGCATTTTGTTCCATTACTAGTTGTCGATTAAATCAACGCGTTGAAACTTTCCTTATTTGTTAGTTTCAACAGAACAATCGGATTATAAGCTATGTTTACATTTTGACAACAATAATTCCTAATCAGAAACACATGGAGGATTAGTAATAAAAAGATTCATGAACGAATGAAAAAGTATTTTATTGAAGAAAAATCATCTGGAAATATATGCTATTATGTATTTTTGAAGATTATCAAAATTCGTCTTTTGAACATGGTTAGTTTTTTTGTACTCATTTATATATAATAACATAAGGAACAGACAATATGCTTAAGTACAAAAAATATCTTTTTGTGGCATGGCCTCTCGTCATAACTGTCTATTTATAATAGAAATAGAGATCATTCAACCCACCGTTATGATTAGATCGCACAATTCTTAAAATTATTTTTTTTAGCAATTATGAATACCTGTTCTTCATAGTTAGAATTTCCATTTTCGAAGCCATAACACCTGAAAAAAATTCACCAGGGATAACATCTCATTATCTTCCTCCTGAAGAACAGTTCCCTTTTACTTAACTAAACTTTCTTAGTATTCCCTGATGGAAAATGTAAATGAACAAAAATAAGAAAAAAACAAAAAAATTATGGCTTGTGATCTTGGCAAATGATGCTTTTGCATAAAAAAAACTTGGAAAAGGCGAATAGAAACTGATTTTTAGAAATTATGGCTGAGCAGACTCTAAATTCAGCAACACTGACTTCATCTCGTTTCAACAACTTATTGAAAAACTTATTAATAAATAAATACTTTGTTATTAACCATTACATCACATATTTTTCACTAGTATGGTCCTCTCTTAATTCTAATTGTCTCATTTCACTGTACTAACTATTAAATACTCAATTCAAAGGCCTTTTCCCCCATGCAATGAGACATTGAAGAAGTCAATAAGAATAATCATTGCTGTCTTCCTTTTGAGGCTTACACTTTTTTCCTTCTGCTAGCACCAAAATTTTCTTTTTATGAACCAGAATGTCGTGTTATTAAATTTCAAATTCCAAATTCTTTCCTCATCAATGACGAGGAATTGAAAAATAATAAAAAGTCAGGAAAAAAAACTGCTGCCGAATGACAACCAAAAAAAAAAATGAAATGAAAAAAATTGTGACTTTCACAAATTACGCCCTAGTTGAATAACAATCAACACTCATTTCGTCTTATTATAATGACAAACATCTCATTTTAACAACAGAAAATTACTTTGTAATCAATCACAACATTTCTAGGAATACTTCTCCCTCAACATGGTCTATTCTCAATCAATACAATAACTCTTACGTTATGCTGGATTCAGAGGCATTATTCCTTCCATACGATGAGATATGAATTTATAAAAATGAATTACATTAGCTGTCTGAAACTATTTCACTTTTTTATCGACAAGCCCAAAAAAAATTCTGAATTATTAAATCTGTGGTTGCTCAATTGAAGTTCCCAATAGTTGGCTGATCAATAAAAAAGAATTAAGAAAATAAATAAAAATGAAAAAGAAAAAAAACTGCTTTGTGAGCACTCAAAATATAAATGAACAAAAATAAGAAAAGACCAAAAAAATTATAGCTTGTGAACTTAGCAAATGATGCTTTTGCATCAAAAAAACGTGGAAAAGGCAAATAGAAACTGATTTTTAGAACTTATAGCTGAGCAGACTCTCAATTCAGCAACACTGACTTCGATCTCATTTCAACAACTTATTGAAAAGCTTAGCTTATTACTTATTAAATAAATACTTTGTTATTAACCATTACATCACATATTTTTCACTAGTATGGTCCTCTCTTAATTCTAATTATCTCATTTCACTGTACTAACTGTTAAATACTCAATTCAAAGGCCTTTTCCCCCATGCAATGAGACATTGAAGAAGTCAATAAGAATAATCATTGCTGTCTTCCTTTTGAGGCTTACACTTTTTTCCTTCTACTAGCACCAAAATTTTCTTTTTATGAACCAGAATGTCGTGTTACTAAATTTGAACTTTCAAATTCTTTCCTCATCAATGCCAAGGAATTGAAAAATAATAAAAAGTCAGAAAAAAAACTGCTGTCGAATGACAACCAAAAAAAAAAAAAAATGAAATGAAAAAAATTGTGACTTTCACAAATTACGCCCTAGTTGAATAACAATCAAAACTCATTTCGTCTTATTATAATGACGACAAACATCTCATTTTAAAAACAGAAAATTACTTTGTAATCAATCACAACATTTTTAGGAATACTTCTCCCTCAACATTGTCTATTCTCATTCAACACAATAACTCTTGAGTAATGCTCGATTCAGAGGCATTATTCCTTCCATACGATGAGATATGAATTTATAAAAATGAATTACATTAGCTGTCTGAAACTATTTCACTTTTTTATCGACAAGCCCAAAAAAAATTCTGAATTATTAAATCTGTGGTTGCTCAATTGAAGTTCCCAATAGTTGGCTGATCAATAAAAAAGAATTAAGAAAATAAATAAAAATGAAAAAGAAAAAAAACTGCTTTGTGAGCACTCAAAATATAAATGAACAAAAATAAGAAAAGACCAAAAAAATTATAGTTTGTGAACTTAGCAAATGATGCTTTTGCATCAAAAAAACTTGGAAAAGGCAAATAGAAACTGATTTTTAGAA